TTTGTTTCTTGATAGTTGTTCCTGCTCACTGGAGATTCAGCAGTCCCTTCAGATTGGAGGCAGTGGATTATTTCTGAAAGCAAGCCTGCCAACAGTTATTGTTCCTTTATGGTGAATGTTGTTACTTTTGCTCACAATTACCAAGTGTGGTTATAATTGCTGCAATATTTATTTATTTATTTCAGGTACTTATATAGCGCTGTCAATTTACGCAGCACTCTACATATATATTATACATTCACATCAGTCCCTAACCCTCAAGGAGCGTACAATCTAAGGTCCCTAAATCACATTCATACATACACATACTAGGGACAATTTAGAAACCCACACAGGCACAGGGAGAACATGCAAACTCCAGGCAGGATGGGATTATGAAATCTGAAGACTACCAAAGAATTCTGGGGTGCAATGTAGGGCCCGGTGTCAGAAAGTTGGGTCTCCATCAGAGGTCATGGGTGTTCCAGCAGAACAATGACCCAAAGCACACATCAAAAAGCCCCCAGAAATGGTTTCAGACAAAGCACTGGAGAGGACTAAACTGGCCAGCAATGAGTCCAGATCTCCATCCCATAGAGCTCCTGTGGAGAGATCTTAGAACAGCAGTGGGAAGAATGTCCCTTACATTGGAGGTCAGTGGGAAGGATATTCCTTACATTGGGGGGTCAGTGGGAAGAATGCTCCTTACATTGGTGGTCAGTGGGAAGAATGTCCCTTACATTGGAGGTCAGTGGGAAGGATATTCCTTACATTGGGGGGTCAGTGGGAAGAATGCTCCTTACATTGGTGGTCAGTGGGAAGAATGTCCCTTACATTGGGGATCAGTGGGAAGGATATTCCTTACATTGGGGGGTCAGTGTGGAAGAATGTCCCTTACATTGGTGGTCAGTGGGAAGAATGTCCCTTACATTGGGGGTCAGTGGGAAGAATGTCCCTTACATTGGGGGTCAGTGGGAAGAATGCCCCTTACATTGGAAGGGTCAGTAGGAAGAATGTCCCTTACATTGGTGGGTCAGTGGGAAGAAGAATTGGAGGTCAGTGGAAGAATGTCCCTTACATTGGGGGTCAGTGGGAAGAATGTCCCTTACATTGGAGTGGGAAGAATGTCCCTTACATTGGAGGTGGGAAGAATGTCCCTTACATTGGGGGTCAGTGGGAAGAATGTCCCTTACATTGGTGATCAGTGGGAAGAATGCTCCTTACATTGGTGATCAGTGGGAAGAATGTCCCTTACATTGAAGGTCAGTGGGAAGAATGTCCCTTACATTGGGGGTCAGTGGGAAGAATGTTCCATACATTGGTGGTCAGTGGGAAGAATGTCCCTTACATTGGAGGTCAGTGGGTAGAATGTCCTTTACATTGGAGGTCAGTGGGAAGAATGTCCCTTACATTGGAGGTCAGTGGGTAGAATGTCCTTTACATTGGTGATCAGTGGGAAGAATGTCCCTTACATTGGGGGTCAGTGGGAAGAATGTTCCATACATTGGTGGTCAGTGGGAAGAATGTCCCTTACATTGGAGGTCAGTGGGTAGAATGTCCTTTACATTGGAGGTCAGTGGGAAGAATGTCCCTTACATTGGTGGTCAGTGGGAAGAATGTCCCTTACATTGGTGATCAGTGGGTAGAATGTCCTTTACATTGGGGGTCAGTGGGAAGAATGTCCCTTACATTGGAGGTCAGTGGGAAGAATGTCCCTTACATTGGTGGTCAGTGGAAGGAATGTCCCTTACATTGGTGATCAGTGGGTAGAATGTCCTTTACATTGGGGGTCAGTGGGAAGAATGTCCCTTACATTGGTGGTCAGTGGGAAGAATGTCCCTTACATTGGTGGTCAGTGGGAAGAATGTCCCTTACATTGGTGATCAGTGGGTAGAATGTCCTTTACATTGGGGGTCAGTGGGAAGAATGTCCCTTACATTGGAGGTCAGTGGGAAGAATGTCCCTTACATTGGTGATCAGTGGGTAGAATGTCCTTTACATTGGGGGTCAGTGGGAAGAATGTCCCTTACATTGGTGGTCAGTGGAAGGAATGTCCCTTACATTGGGGGTCAGTGGGAAGAATGTCCCTTACATTGGAGGTCAGTGGGAAGAATGCTCCTTACATTGGGGGGTCAGTGGGAAGAATGTCCCTTACATTGGTGGTCAGTGGGAAGAATGTCCCTTACATTGGTGATCAGCAGGAAGAATGTCCCTTACATTGGTGATCAGTGGGAAGAATGTTCCTTACATTGGTGGTCAGTAGGAAGAACGTACCTTACGTTGGGGGTCAGTGGGAAGAATGTCCATTACATTGGGAGTCAGGGGGAAGAATGTCCCTTACATTGGTGATCAGTGGGAAGAATGTCCCTTACATTGGTGGTCAATGTAAGGAGACTGCTACTGTAAGGTTATGTTTGATGGGGGGGTGAGGGGAGTGGTGGAGGGGTGGAGGAGCTGGGTCAGCACAGAGAGTAGACACTCCCAAAAGAGTATAGAACTATGACATGCAAGGAGGAAGGGAGCTGTGCTGGGGAACTCATTACATGCCTGACGAAGGGGTCCTGCGTGATTCATAAACATTGTTTCATCTGTGATGTGATCATACTTCAATAAAGCCTTTCGGACGTATCTTGCAGATTGATGGTGTCTTGGAAATTCGCTTTTAACAAATTTTTCCTTACCGTGAGTACTCGCAGTTGGATGCGCAGAAATCCCCGATAAAACTGTGCGAATCTCGCGGCAGCCGTATCACGCCTTCCACTTACCACAACTGCAGCTAAACTCCACGATTCCAGCACCTCCAACAGGTCTAGCTCTGTTGAGATGTGGGGAAAATGGAGCTCCAGTTACCCAGGAATGATCACACGACACTCTCAGGTTGCTGTTGGAATTCACGTAGAGGCTGGCTCCAATCCCAGCCTCCGGTTTTATTACAAGCACACACACGCCCCCCACATGAGTCAGGTCAATCCCCTCCCACAGAACAATGCATTGGGAGTGTCTATACACAGAATGTACATTCCAATTGGAGCGTAGCCTTTCCTCTTATCTAAACTGGGAGCCAGTTACACCAGTCCTCCCCCTCCCCCCATGAGCTCTCTGAGGAGAGCAAACTTCCCCCTTTACACCAGTCCTCCCCTTCCCCCATGAGCTCTCTGAGGAGAGCAAACTTCCCATATCCTATCAGCTCCTAGCAGTATGTCCATTCTCTGTACAAGCATCCCCTAGATTAAACAGTGTCAGTCTGTATCTGAATGGGCCCGATACGATCTTTATTAAAACACATCCATCCAGATACAGTTCAGGTCGGTAATGGCTTGTAAGATATACATGAGCCTACACGCAGAGTTCGCACTGCCTGGCGCCTGGCCATACGAAGTCCCTGTGGTACTATGCTGCTGATGTGTGGATACAGGCCCGCGGCCTACCGCCGGTGGCATTCGCATCGAATGGTGGTATACACGCCGGTCTATAAGCGCAGATCTGCCATCTCATCCATTACCGAGCTGAGTACTGTAACATATACATTGTAAATGTGCATGGCCCAATTGCAGCCTTCAGAGCTTTAATTAAGCCACACGAGAGACATATGAATAACACTCATATATGACACATTTAAAGTTCAACCTGTAATACAAAATTTCCATGACATTGGTGTGCTGGCAAATATCTACACTGTGCTGGGGAACTGACTCGTCAATTATTCCAGGTGAATAAAAAATAGCTAATGGAACCGAAAAACACTGGAATTTTTTTAAATACTTAATTTTTTGGCACTTTTATTTGCAGTTTTTAGAAGTTGGTGACAGGGTCTCTTTAACATAAATGGCTCCCTGTGCAGCACATTTCCATGGCACAGCTCGCCGCCCCTTTAAACCCGTCTGACATTATGTATTCCTGCAAGCCTGTTATGCAGAATAATTTTGTAAATTTCCCGTTGTGCTGTGAAATTCATTAATTTGCGCGTGTTTATACCGTTAAACGCCAATAAAAGCAGATTACGGCGTACCTGTCCTTTTAAATAGAAATTTAATGTTTCTGCTCAGCAACTCAGCGGAAAGCCGTGCGTCGTCCAATCAGCCGCCCTCTAGATTTGGAAGGAGCAGATTATTTTCAATTTGCGTCGTCACGTGACCAATCCAGATAGACGGAGTACCAGAATTTCTCCTGAATTACCGAGATAGCCGCGGCTGGTGTGTGCGTCCCCTCGCTCTCCATTATGCCTTCAGCTAGGCAAATTAACAGCTGTGCCGCCGCGATCCGTCAGATAAAAAGTAGGTCTGGACCCTCAACCTCGCTCCCTCGCTCTCGCTAAATTGCCTTATTGTAAGAGCGAATATAATGAGGCGGAATGTGATCTAATCATAAAAAGCGTAATTTGCTCTCCTTACCTCTGCGGAAGGTCTGCTGCACCACCTTGATTAAATGATTTTGTTTTATTGAAGTTTGAATTATTTGCTTCTTTATCAGGATTTGTCTTGTAAGATTAATGCAAATATTCCGCGTATATGAAAAGGGCGTTTCTTTTTTGTTTCTTTTCACGCCTTTTAGAATTAAAACAAAATTTATTTTTTTTATATATAGAGTCACGGCCAAAAATCTTGTCCCCCCACTCCCCCCCCCCCTCCATTTCTGTCAGAGAGCGCACCACTTTGCCCAGAAAATTGTTGCGATAACAAATGTTTCAGCATTCTCATGTTTATTTCTTGGGTTTGTATTGGTATGACACAAAAAAAGTGGAGAAACAAAAAGCATAATCTGCTGCATTCCACCCAACACCCCCCCCCCCCCCAAAATGGACTGGGCAAAATTATTGACACCCTCAATGTAATATTTGGTAGCGCACCCCTTGGAAAAAAATACCTGAACTCAATGGCTTCCTGGAACCATTGATGAGTTTCTTCCACCTCTCTACTGGAATTTTGGAGCGTTCTTCTTTTGACAATTGCTCCAGGTCCCTCAGATTGGAGGCATTCTTCCCACTGACCACCAATGTAAGGGACATTCTTCCCACTGACCCCCAATGTAAGGGACATTCTTCCCACTGACCTCCAATGTAAGGGACATTCTTCCCACTGATCCTCAATGTAAGGGACATTCTTCCCACTGACCCCCCAATGTAAGGGACATTCTTCCCACTGACCCCCAATGTAAGGGACATTCTTCCCACTGATCCCCAATGTAAGGGACATTCTTCCCACTGACCACCAATGTAAGGGACATTCTTCCCACTGACCTCCAATGTAAGGGGCATCCTTCCCACTGACCCCCAATGTAAGAGGACATTCTTCCCACTGACCCCAATGTAAGAGGCATTCTTCCCACTGACCCCCAATGTAAGGGACATTCTTCCCACTGACCCCAATGTAAGGAACATTCCTTCCCACTGACCACCAATGTAAGGGACATTCTTCCCACTGACCCCCAATGTAAGGGACATTCTTCCCACTGACCACCAATGTAAGGAGCATTCTTCCCACTGACCCCCAATGTAAGGAATATCCTTCCCACTGACCTCCAATGTAAGGGACATTCTTCCCACTGACCACCAATGTAAGGGACATTCTTCCCACTGACCCCCAATGTAAGGAATATCCTTCCCACTGATCCCCAATGTAAGGGACATTCTTCCCACTGACCACCAATGTAAGGGACATTCTTCCCACTGACCCCCAATGTAAGGAATATCCTTCCCACTGACCCCCAATGTAAGGAATATCCTTCCCACTGACCCCCAATGTAAGGGACATTCTTCCCACTGACCACCAATGTAAGGGACATTCTTCCCACTGACCCCCAATGTAAGGAATATCCTTCCCACTGACCTCCAATGTAAGGGACATTCTTCCCACTGCTGTTCTGAGATCTCTCCACAGGAGCTCTATGGGATGGAGATCTGGACTCATTGCTGGCCAGTTTAGTCCTCTCCAGTGCTTTGTCTGAAACCATTTCTGGGGGCTTTTTGATGTGTGCTTTGGGTCATTGTTCTGCTGGAACACCCATGACCTCTGATGGAGACCCAACTTTCTGACACCGGGCCCTACATTGCACCCCAGAATTCTTTGGTAGTCTTCAGATTTCATAATGCCATTCACACGGTCAAGAAATCCAGTGGCTGAAGCAGCAACCCCAAAACATCATGGACCCCCCCACCTTGTGTGACTGTAGGGACTGGATTCTTTTCTGTAAAGGCCTCATTGCCTTTTCTGAAAACAGTAGAATGATGGGCTTTACCAAAAAAAACTTTGTTTTGTGTTATTCTCCCAAAAGGATTTTGGCGTCCTTAGGTAAGTTTTGGCAAACTCCAATCTGGCTTTTTTCTTTTTCTGTGTCAGCCGTCAGGTCCTCCTGGGTCTCCTACCATCGCATCCCTTTTCATTGAGATGGAGACGTATAGTGCGAGCTGACACAGTTGTACCCGGTGCCTGAAGGTCAGCTGAGATTTCTCTGGAAGTTAATCGAGGTTCTTTAGCCATCATTCCAACAATCCTTCATTGCAATCTTTGATCAATTTTTCTCTTTCGTCCACGTCCAGGGAGACTAGCTACAGTGCCATGGGCTGTAAATGTCTTGACAATGTTGCGCACAGTGGACACAGGAACATTAAGATCTCTGGAAATGGATTTGTAACCTTGAGACTGTCCATGCTTATCCACAATTTTTGTTCTTCAATCCTCAGACAATTCTTTGCTGCTCTTTCTCTCCTCCATGCTCCATGTGGCACACAGAGACACACAACAGAAAGGTGGAGGCCATTTTTCACCATTGTAACTGGTTGCCGGTGTGATTTTGCCTGGTCATTGATACAGGTGAGTTTAATGACAAATTACAGGAACATCACAAACATGGAATGCAATTACCGTATTTGCCGGCGTATAAGACGACTTTTTACCCCTTGAAAATCTTCTCAAAAGTCGGGGGTCGTCTTATACGCCGGTATACGGCATACTGACACTTTTTAGGGGGGCGGCGCGTTGCCGCCGCCGCCCCCCCCCCCTTCCCCCAATGGAAGGGACACTAAGTACAGGGGTGGGCAGCGGCTGTTTCTTACCTGGTTCCCACGACGATCCGGTCCAGGAAGCGCGGCTGCGCCTTCAGTTCGGCCACTGGATGTTCGTGCGGCTGCTCGGCTCCGCCTCCTCACCAGTGATTGGCCGCCAGAACTGTAGCTCAGGAAAGGCACACAGGGTGCCAATCACCGGCGAGGGGGTGGAGCCGAGCGGCCCCCGCGAAAATCGAGTGCAGGACCAGCAGGTAAGTGGTCAGTGTAGAGGTGCTGCTGCAACCACATATGCTGGCTGCAGCAGCACCATACGAGAACAGGGTCAGCAAGTGTCAGTGGGAGGAATAGTGCCCCATCATTGGTGTCACTGATACCAATGATGGAGCACTATTCCTCCCACTGATACCAATGATGGGGCACTATTCCTCCCACTGACACCAACGATGGGGCACTATTCCTCCCACTGACACCAACGATGGGGCACTATTCCTCCCACTGATACCAATGATGGGGCACTATTCCTCCCACTGATACCAATGATGGGGCACTATTCCTCCCACTGATACCAATGATGGGGCACTATTCCTGCCACTGATACCAATGATGGGGCACTATTCCTGCCACTGATACCAATGATGCCACTGGTGTGCATTGGAAGAGGGGTAGTCTTATACGGCGAGTATAGCTCAAACACTAAATTTTAGCAGGAAAAGTAGGGGGGTCGTCTTATACGCCCAGTCGTCTTATACGCCGGCAAATACGGTACTTCTTACAATTTTGAGAAGGTGCCAATAATTTTGTCCAGTCCATTTTTGGGGTTTTGCTTGGAATGTGTCATATTTGGCTTTTTGTTTCTCCACTTTTTCATGTCATACGGATACAAACAAAAGAAATAAACATGAGAATGCTGAAACATTTGTAATTGCAACAATTTTCTGGGTGAAGTGGTGCATTGTCTGACAAAAATGCAGGGGTGCAATATTTTCGGCCATGACTGTGTACAGTGTATATATATATATATATATATATATATATAAAATCACCTGTGTGTTTATATTGTACTGTATAATCCAATCAATATTTGGTGTGATCACCCCTATGCCTTCTTCAAGGTAGATTTGCACACAGTGAAGGAAGTCGGCAGGTAGGTTGTTCGATGTACATCTTGGAGAACTATGACCAGATCTTCTGTGGATGTCAGCTGCCTCCAGTCCTTCTGTCTCTTCATTGCATCCCAGACAGACTTCAGGATGGTGAGATCAGGACTCTGTGGGGGTTAAACCATCACTTCCAGGACTCCGTAGTCTCCTATACACTGAAGATGGTTCTTAATGACATTGGCTGTTTGTTTGGGTTGGTTGTCCTGCTGTAGAATAAATTTGGGGCCAGTCACACGCCTCCCTGATAGTAAAGCATGATGGAGAAGTATCTGCCTGTATCTCTCAGCATTGAGGATACCATTGATCCTGATCAAATCTCCAACTCCATTGGCAGATATGCAGCCCCAAACTTGAAAGGAACCTCCGCCATACTTCACAGTTGCCTGCAGACACTCATTATTCTTCCGCTCTACAGCCCTTCCCCTGACAAACTGCCTCCTGCTACAGCCAAATATTTCACATTTTGACTCATCAGTCCAGACCACTGCTACCATTTTTCAGCACCCCAGTTCCTGTTTTTTCTGCATAGTTGAGTCACTTAGCCTTGTTTCCACAAATTGGCCGCAATTCTTCCATGAAGACCTCTTCTGGTCAGACTTCTCCGGACAGTAGATGGGTGTACCTGGGTCCCATTGGTTTCTGCCAGTTCTGTGCTAATGGCATTGCTGGACATCTTCTGACGTGGAAAGGAAGTAAGCATGATGTGTCTTTCATCTGCTGCATTACGTTTCCTTGGCTGACCACTGCTTCTACGCTCTTCAATGTTACCAGACAACTACTCCTACGCTCCTCAATGTTACTTGACCACTGTGTCTACACTCCTCAACATTGCTCAGCCACTACAGGTATGCTCCTCAATGTTACCCGACCGCTGCGTCTACGCTCCTCAATGTTACCCGACCACTGTGTCTACACTCCTCAACATTGCTCGACCACTACAGGTATGCTCCTCAATGTTACCCGACCACTGCGCCTACGCTCCTCAATGTTACTTGACCACTGTGTCTACACTCCTCAACATTGCTCAGCCACTGCATCTACACTTCTCAACGTTACCCGACGACTGCGCCTACGCTCCACTCAATGTTACCCGACCACTGTGTCTACACTCAACATTGCTCAGCCACTGCATCTACACTTCTCAACGTTACCCGATTGCTCAGCCCACTCATCTACGCTTCTCAACGTTACCCGACGACTGCGCCTACGCTCCTCAATGTTACCCGACCACTGTGTCTACACTCCTCAACATTGCTCAGCCACTGCACCTACGCTCCTCAATGTTACCCGACCACTGTGTCTACACTCCTCAACATTGCTCGACCACTACAGGTATGCACCTCAATGTTACCCGACCACTGCACCTAAGCTCCTCAACATTACCCAACCACTGCATCTACGCTCCTCAACATTACCCAACCACTGCACTTACGCTCCTCAACATTACCCGTCCACTGCACTTACGCTCCTCAGTGTTACTTAACCACTGTCTACACTCCTCAACATTGCTCAACCACTGCATCTACGCTCCTCAACATTACCCAACCACTGCACCTACGCTCCTCAATATTACCCGACCACTGCTCTTACGCTCCTCAGTGTTACTCAATCACTGTTTCTATGCTCCGCAACATTGCCCAACCAATGCATCTACGATCCTCAACGTTATCCGACCACTGTGCCTACGCTCCTCAACATTGCCCAAACACTGCGTCTGCACTCAGCGATACCTGTTTCTTTGTGCTTCTTCAAAAGAGCTTGAACGAAACACCTTGAAACCTCAGTCTGTTTTGAAATCTTTACCTGGATGAGACCTTGCTGATGCAGTATAACTACCTTCTGTCTTGTTGCTGTGCTCAGTCTTGCCATGGTGTATATAACCTGTGATACGAGACTGTCTGATTTTTCTCTGCTGCTTACAGGTCTTGCCCTGCCCCCAGCCTGCGACGGGACAGTGAGAGGAGAAGCAGTAGACTTAATGGCACCTCCATGCTTCTGTATGTGTTGGGACAGCACTCGATTTTGCCCATGTTTTCTGGCATACACAGTGTGGAATGGGTTTCGTTTGGCTGATGGTACTGCCCACTGAACACATTTGGGGGATATCAATGCTTCATTATCGCAGTTGCGGCATGTGTACACCCCCATCTGCTGCCTTTGCAGCTTAAGGGTGAGTGAATGGGGGGCTGTAAAGAAACAAGCTAACCACATGCTTTTACTGCCCCCAATTGCAAGTGTAAACCTAGCCTGGGGCAATCTTACCTAAACTTGAATATGCAGTATAACTTCTCTCCGGGTAAAAGTTTTTTTTTTTTTTTTTTTTTTTTAACTCTGGGACTGGATGAGGAGGTCAGTGGCCTCTCTGCTCCTATACACTGTTCCTAGAATCTAGAATGTAACGATAATGATGAAGTTGGATATTTGACTCCATGGAGAACTCCAATTATGGGCGGCAATAAAGTTCTTAATTACACCGACACAAACAAGAGGACTGGTCAAATCTGGTTCACCTGCTGCTTTTTTATGACTTCATTCTGTAGACACTGCATATATATATATATATATACACACACACACACTTCTCAAAAAAATTACAGGAAGACTTAAAAACACATCAGACCTCAATCGGGAAAAGTCTGCTGGATATCAACCTGCAGAGGACTGAATTCAAAGACACCCTGAAAATCAAATTGAAAAAATGATGTTGCAGGCGAGTCCATTTCATTGCAATAGAAATGTCATTGCAGCAACTCAACAAAATGGTCCTCAGTAGTCTGTATGGCCCCCACGTGCTTTTATGCATATCTGAGACTGTCGGGGCATGCTCCTAATGAGACCACGGATGGTGTCCTGGGGGATTTCCTCCCAGATCTGGACCAGGGCATCACTGAGCTCCTGGACAGTCTGAGCTGCAACTTGGCGGCGTCGGATTGGACCAAAACATGACATCCCAGAGGGGTTCTATTGGATTTAGGTCAGGCGATTGTGGGGGCCATTCATTGGTATCAATTCCTTCATCCTCCAGGAACTGCCTGCATACTCTCACCACATGAGGCCGGGCATTGTCTGCACCAGGAGGAACCCAGGACCCACTGCACCAGCGTAGGGTCTGACAATGGGTCCAAGGATTTCATCCCCATACCTAATGGCAGTCAGGGTGCCATTGTCTAGCCTGTAGAGGTCTGTGTGTCCCCCCATGGATATGCCTCCCCAGACCATCACTGACCCACCACCAAAACGGTCATGCTGAATGATGTTACAGGTAGCAGAACGTTCTCCACGGCTTCTCCAGACCTTTTCACGTCTGTCACATGTGCTCAGAGTGAACCTGCTCTCATCTGTGAAAAGCACCACCTGTCAAGCTCACCTAAAGTAACTTCCTGTCTCCTGGAATCTCCTCCATGCTCTTGAGACTGTGCAAACCTTCTGGCAATGGCAGGTATTGATGTGCCATCCAGGAGGAGGTGGACTGCCTGTGTAACCTCTGTAGGGTGCAGGTATGGCCTCATGCTACCAGTAGTGACACTGACCCTAGCCAAATTCAAAACTAGTGAAAAGCAGTCAGAAAAGATGAGTAGGGAAAGAAATGTCAGTGGCCTCCACCTGTAAAACCATTCCTGTTTTGGGGGTCGTCTCATTGTTGCCCATCTAGTGCACATGTTGTTAATTTCATTACCACCAAAGCAGCTGAAACTGATTAACAACCCCCTCTGCTACTTACCTGACCAGATCCTCTGCTACTTACCTGACCAGATCAATATCCCAGGAGTTTCAGTGACTTGATGCTAGACTTTGATTAAAAAGTGTTCCTTTATATATATTTTTCGAGCAGTGTGTACATATCAACCGGAATAAGATAAGAAATGTTGCTGTGATGGGCGGGCAATCTGTACAGGTGGTGGGCAATATAGAAATCACACCTATATATATATGTATTATACAGGATTTATATAGCGCCAACAGGTTGCGCAGCGCTTTACAAAATGAAGGTAGACATTACAGTTACAATACAATTTGGTACAAGAGGAAACAGAGAGCCCGGCTTATTAGAGCTTACAATCTAGTAGGAAGGGTTGAGTGATACAGAAGGTAATGGCTGGGGGGGGGGGTGAGCTGATGGGAGAAATAAAACAGGACAGGCTTCTTTAAATAGAAAGGTTTTTTAGGGATCGTCTAAAGGTGGATAGATTAGGAGATAGCCAGACAGATTGGGGTAGGGAGTTCCATAGGATGGGAGAATTTCTGGAGCAGTCCTGGAGGCGAGCATGGGAGGAGGTGACACAGGAACTAGAGAGCAGAAGGTCTTGGGAGGATCGAAGAGAGAGGTTTGGTTGATATTTTGAGACCAGGTTAGTGATGTAGCTGGGTGCAGAGTTGTGGATGGCTTTTTGTAAGTTGTTAGTATTTTGACTTTTATTTGTTGGGCGAGTGGAAACCAGTGGAGGGATTGGAAGTGAGGGGTGGAGGACACTGAGTGGAGGTCAGTGAGGTCAGTGGAGGGATGAGTGGCAGAGAGGGGTGGAGGACACTGAGTGGAGGTCAGTGGAGGGATTGGCAGAGGGGGGTGGAGGACACTGAGTGGAGGTCAGTGGAGGGATTGGCAGAGAAGGGTGGAGGACACTGAGTGGAGGTCAGTGGAGGGATTGGCAGAGAGGGGTGGAGGACACTGAGCGGAAACCAGTGGAGGGATTGGCAGAGAGGGGTGGAGGACACTGAGCGGAAGCCAGTGGAGGGATTGGAAGAGAGGGGTAGCAGACACTGAATGGTTGATAAGGTGGAGGAGCCTGGCAGCAGTATTCATGATGGACTGGAGGGGGTGGCCTATGTAAAGGTAAGCCAATGAGAAGGGAGTTGCAGTATTCGAGGCAAGAGATGACCAGGGAGTAAATTAGGAGCTTTGTAGTATCATTGGTTAAAAAGGGGTGTATTCTGGAGATGTTGCGGAGATTGAGGTGGCATGATTTGGACAGGGATTGGATGTGGGCCTGAAAGGATAGTTCAGAATCCAGGGTTGTGCTATTGATCCTGACCGAGAAATCAGGGGCAGAGGCACGTGGGGGAGGAAATATTATGAGCTCAGTTTTGGATAGATTGAATTTTAGGAAGTGGTGTGACATCCAGTCTGATATGTCTGTTAGTAAATCGGTGATACGTGAGAAAACTGATGTGTGAGCTGAGGAGTAGAGAGATAGATTTGTGTGTCATCAGCATAGAAATGGTATTGGAAACCATGGGAAGCTATCAGCTGACCCAAAGAAGAAGTGTAGATCGAGAATAGGGGAGGTCCAAGGACAGAACCCTGGGGGACCCCGATGGTAAGGGGAATAGGAGAGGAGGAAGTAGAGTTGTAAGTGATACTGAAGGTGCGGTGAGATAGCTAAAATTTAAACCAACGGAGAGTCCAGTCACGGAGACCAAGTAAATAGAGTTTTTTGAGGAGGAGGGGGTGGTCAACTGTGTCAGAGGCAGCGGAGAGGTCCAAGAGTAAGAGTACGGAATAGTGACTGCTGGTTTTAGCTCTTATTAAGTCGTTTGTGAGTTTTAGGAGAGGAGTTTCTGTGGAGTGTTGTCAGCGAAATCCAGACTGAAGGGGATCGAGAAGGTTATTCTCAATGAGGTGGCAGCTCATCTGGTTATAGACTAGACGTTCAAGGAGTCTGAAGGCAAAAGCGAATAAGGAGATGGGTCTTAGATTGCTAAGATTGGTGGGGTCCAGTGAGGCCTTTTTAAGTATGGGGGTGACTAGCGTACGTTTTAGAGAGTTGGGGAAGATGCCAGTAGAAAGGGAGAGATTGACAAAATGAGCTAAAGATTGATGGATAGAGCAATATGGCGACCGTAGTATTTGCGTGGGAACAGGGTCCAGGGGGTAGGTGGTTACATGGGCTTTAGAAAAAAGTTTTTCAACCTCCTCTATAGTAGCTGGGTTAAACAAGGAAGTATAGATTGTGCAGGTGGACAAGGATTGTAGGGTGAGGGAGATATCTGTACAGTGGAGATCCCATCACGAATTGTATCAATCGTATTTTTGAAGTGATTAGCAATCTCCTGGGCAGTGAGTGAGTTAGTGGGTGGAGGTAAAGGACGAAGTAGAGAGTTAAAGGTAGAAAAGAGTTGACGGGATTGAGTGAGAGGGTGTTAATGAGAGTGATAAAATAGGTCTGTGTGGAGACAGGAGTTGTATTTTTAAAGGGCAGATTTATATTGGTAAAAGTCTTGCTGGGCCTTAATCTTACACCATAAACGCTCAAGAGCGCGGCTATGCTTTTTGAGGAATCTGGTATTGTCTGTTTGCCAGGGCTGTAGTGGCTGGGGCCTAATTCTGTGTGTAGTGAGGAGGGCCAATGTGTCCAGGGTGAACTGTTGTAGACAGAAGTGGCCAGGTTGGGGCAGGACAGGGCTGAGATTTTGTCATAGAGACAATCATTTGCGGAAAATAAGGAGACAAGGGTTAAGATAGCAAAAGGTTTCCACAGGGTAACTGTTTGGTAGTTGGAAGACAAGGAGGAGGAAGCCAAGGAGAGAGTGAAGCTAATAAGGGAGCGATCAGAGAGAGGAAAAGGAGAGTTGGTGAAGTTGCAAGTAGTGCATAGGTAGGAGAATACAGGGTCGAGGCATTTGCCATTGGAGTGAGTAGAAGCATGTGTCCATTGTTTTAGGTCAAAAGAAGTGGTTAGACTCAGAAATGTAGAAGTAGCAGGAGTGTTAAGATTATCAGGGACGTTGAAGTCACCGAGAATGATTGTGGGAATTTCAGAAGAGAGAAAGTTAGGCAGCCAAGCAGAGATGTCATCAAGGAAGCTTGATACCGGTCCAGGAGGCCGATAGATCACAGCAATTCTTAAAGAAACTGGAGAGAATAGACGAATACAGTGAACTTCAAATGAGGAGAGGGACAGAGAGAAGGACCTGAAAAGTGCTTTGAGGGGATAGGAGGATTCCAACTCCACCTCCTTTCCATCCACTAGACCCAGGAGAGTGAGTGCAGAGGAGACCACCATGGAAGAGGACAGCAGGAGAGGGAAAGTCAGATTCACAAAGCAAGGATTCCATAATCTTACGTAGGTTAAAGGAGTTTGTGATAAATAAGTCGTGGACAGAGGTGAGTTGTTACAGACAGAGCGGGCATTCCAACATGCACAGGAAAAGGGAAGGCTGCTAGAGGATAGGGGGGTGCCAGTGTGTTGGTCAAAGGAAAAAGATGGCGGCCCAGGATTTGGGTAAATATCTCCAGATGTTAGGAGAAGCAGAACGGCAAGAGAGGTAATATGGGAGTATGACTTACTGTATATGGAGGGACAGGTCCCAGTGTCCTGGAGGTTTTATTAGTATGTGGGTTCAGAATTAACAGGAGTTGATGAGTACAGTAATAAGGTGTGAGCAGGGGCGGACTGACAACTCATGGGGCCCCCGGGCAATAGGGGATCATGGGGCCCCTGTGTCCTTGCCCAAACTCAAAAAAGCCTATGAAAAAGGTACCAGGGGCATCTCATGGGGCCCCCTACTGACCCCAGTTTCCAAATGGTCAGTCCGCCCCTGGGTGTGAGTGAGGGTGATATATATAAGCTGTGGGGTGGAGAAGAGGGGTGAAAGAGAGAAAGTTTGAAGAGAGAGGATACAGCTGTGAGAAGAAGGAGTAGGGAGTGCATGTTACAGCGTGGTGAGATGAAGAAGCAGACTGGGTAAAAGCTGAAAGAGTTGGATGGAGAAACAGGTCACCTGTAGTCTGTTTAGTATTTGAAGTTATCTGCAGTGCTTTCTCACTTTGTGCTTTCGCTGAAGTGCAGAGCTGAAGTGCAATGCTCAATACTTAATCCAAGATGAATACTTTATCTAAGATGATCATTGCCAATGCTGCTCCTGGCTTTGCCTTCCCTAAGGAAGGCCTACATATATACTGAGTTGGGTGGGGGAATTGCCAATGAATCAATTAGGAATGCAAAGCAGGGACACATGGCTAGCAGGGCAAACTTCTCACACCAAAGGAGGACTACAAGAGACAACAAGAGAGCAGGAGGGCAGAGTTTTAAAGATTAGGATCAGCTCATAAATTTGGATTAGACAATAAGAGCAAAAAAAAACACCACAGTATTATGGTCCAGAGTCAAAGATTTTGGAAGAATTACCAATATGAACACTGATAGTTATGAATCCACTTCAGTTAGAGGTGGATTTTAAAAGCAGTATAGATTACCATATAGCAGTGCGGGGTGAATTAGCATTCATACATGGCATGGGCGATAGTACAGATGGATATTGCTCACAGACATTTACCTGTGATGGGATAGAGAAGAGTTATTCAGATGATGCCGAGACGAGGTGCAATGCTCAATACGTAATCCAAGATCAATATTTTATCCAAGATGATAGTTGCCAATGCTACCCCTGGCTGTGCTTCCCCTGGCTGATAGATATATATATATATATATATATATATATACACCTCAAAGACAGACAGTTATCAGGTTTATTTATTTGGCAGTTTTAGATCTGGAGATGGAGTTTGCGGTCTCATCTACAGGTATAATAATAGTACAATGACTCTAGCCTTGTGTGATTGGTCATCATCATCCTGGTACTTCCCAACCCAATGCAGCAGATTATTCCCACTTCCACTTCTTTTTCTGGCTGGAGACGTCACACCAGTGGTAGTTGCAACCCCTAATATAACCAAGGGGGGCGCACATAGTTTTCTGTGACTGTAATGTTGCAGGAAGCAGTCAGAGGCTTTAGACTGTAAGGGGGGCTCTGATGTGATGGTGGGTGCTCTAAATGACGATGTGATGGTGACACCTAATGTGATGGTGACATCTAATGTGATAGGGGACCTCTAATGTGATGGTGACCTCTGATGTGACGGGGGACCTCTAATGTGATGCTGACCACTGATGTGATGATGACCACTGATGTGATGGTAACCTCTGATGTAATCGGGGACTTCTGAGGTGATGGTGACCTCTGATGTAATGGGGACCTCTGATGTGATAGAGGATCTCTGATGTGGTGAGGGGACCTCTAATGTAAAGGGGGCTTTGGTGTGATAGGGGACCTCTGATGTAATGGTGGACCTCTGATGTAATGGGGGACCTCTGATGTGATGAAGGGACCTCTGATGTAATGGGGGACCTCTGATGTGATGAAGGGACCTCTGATGCGATGGTGGAACCTCTGATGTGATGGTGGAACCTCTGATGTGATGGAGGATCTCTGATGTGATGAGGGGACCTCTGATGTAAAGGGGGCTCTGATGTAATGGGGGACTTCTAATGTAAAGGGGACTCTGATGTAATGGGGGGTCTCTGATGTGAAGGGGGACCTCTGATGTGACAGGTGTACCCCTGATGTGATGGCGGAACCTCTGATGTGATGGGGGGGGGGATCTCTGATGTGACAGGGGACCTCTGATATGATGAGGGGACCTCTGATGTAAAGGGGGATCAGATGTACTGGGGGACCTCTGATGTGATGAGAAGACCTCTGATGTAAAGGGGGGCTCTGATATGTAAGGGGACTTCTGATGTGAAGATCATTTCATCAGGGTGGTTGTGTACATCATCACAAGCTCAGGTTTCCAATTGATAAATT